TTTGTCGTGATTAGGTGAATGAACCTGTATTAAAAACAAATTAGGAGAAAACACAACTTTCTGGAACTCATTTTGCCAGCCATTGGGATTAATACCCAATCTTGCCAGGTAACACATTTTTTTAGAAACTCGTGTCTATGTTACACGAAGGCTTCAGCTTTCCTAACTCGATATCTCTTCAACCTGTTGAAGGGATTGATAAAATACGAGTAGAACTACTGACTACGAATACTCAATGCCTTGTTAATCAATCCTACCCTGTATCAAAGTTTTGAGGATATATTACTACGAAAGTGCATCGCATTGTCTAAACTGGGAGCAATGAATAGACCTGGAGGCCTCTATGAATTATTGATAGACATGACACAACTTTGAACATTCTATAAATGCGTGGTGGTTCGGAATCATTAATTATCGTTCTCAAGTTAATTGATAAGCTTCGTCAGGTTCTAGAACATAGGCATACTTATCGGCGTCCGACAATGGTGGTCTTTCTCGACTTAAAAGCAGCATTTGACTCTGTAGACCGCGAGATTCTGTGGCAGTGTCTGTCATTGAAAGGCGCACCTCAGAAGTACATAAACCTTGTGAAGGCTCTGTACTCGAACACTACCAGTCGAGTCAGAGTTTATGGCGAACGGTCATCTGCTTTTGCAACCTCAAGTGGTGTCCGTCAAGGCTGTCCACTTTCTCCATTTTTGTTTAACTTCATCATAGATCTACTGATGGAAATAACTTTCTCGTCGACTGAGTTCTCGGGTATTGATCTCCTTCCAGGAGGTCCACTTATCGACTTGGAATATGCAGATGATATAGTCCTGTTTGGTGAAGACGCTGATAGAATGCAGAGTCTTCTGGTAGCACTAAGCAACAATGCCAGGATGTTTGGAATGCGCTTCTCTCCCTCTAAATGCGAGTTGTTGCTTCAGGACTGGTCTGCGTCAACACCTGAACTAAGGATAGGGAGTGAAGTAGTCGGACGCGTTGACAATTTCACTTATGTTGGAAGTTTGATCAGCCCTAATGGGTTGGTATCGGACGGAATCTCAGCACGGATTCGAAAAGCTCGATTGGCTTTTGCCAACTTGCATCACCTATGGCGAAGGCGAAATATCCGTCTATCAATAAAAGGACGAGTATACTGCGCGGCAGTTCGTTCTGTTTTAATTTACGGCAGCGAAACATGGCCATTAAGAGTAGAAGACACTCGTAAGCTACTAGTATTTGACCACAGATGGCTTAGAAATATTGCTGGCGTCTGCTAGGATCACCGGATAAGTAATAGAGAGGTTCGACACAGGGTATTAGGTAATGATGGTAAATCAGTTGATGAGGTTGTGAATGTTCATCGACTGAGATGGTTGGGCCACGTGTTACGTATGCCTGAACACCGATTAGCACGACGTGCAATGCTGACCGGTGTTTGGGATGGTTGTAAGAAAGTTAGAAGCGGCTAAACCAGAACGTGGCATCAGTGCTTGAAGTCACTAACCTGTAGTCTGAGCCATGTTGGTAGATGCAGACTAGTACGTTGTGGTCCGCGTGACTATCGTAACCAATGATTGGAGACTCTTGGTGACACGGCTCAGAATCGATCACAATGGCGTCGGTGTATACACTCTCTATCTTCCCTTAAACAAAGAGAATAGTATCGCTTCATATCTTTCTTCATGTACTATATCCTTATTACAATCTTTCTCCTATATATTACCACCTTTGACCTAACTACTTCTATGAACCCGGTGTTCATCTTGCTGTGCTAATGAGGTATGGCAACTTGGACCGATGCATAAATGTGCCTGGTCCTACGTTGTAGCTGACTGACTCCGTTAATTAGTAATAAATGCTCAAGATTTATCAAAACTTCTCAAGCCAGAAATATATCCTCCGTACACTGACTTATTGAGGCTAAATAAGCACTATAGTCTGTTTATTTAACGGGATTCTCCAACGTGCTACTTTTATATATTAATGCGAATCAAACTCTTGGTATTCTATTGCGGCCATGAATTGCTCTTCCCTCAGTCCTAGCTAAAACGTCCTGTTTTTTTAGTTTAAGCAGAAACGGTGTTTACAATCCCTAATACAACATTTCTGAAGTCAGTAGCTATACATCAAGTATGGGGAGCTTTAGTTACATTGCATAATTTAAAAAATGGTGGGGATATCCTTATTGAAGTCCATATTATTGTACATTGCTGAGTATTTCACGAAGGTGAAATAGTGTTCATGTCGTGCCGGTGATAGATCGTGAACATGTTATCTATTTGTAATCCCGTCTACGACGTCGAGAATTTACTTCGTCAAACAACTCTCACCTGACTCAAAAAATTTGACTATCTTTTGAAATGACTACACCCGTTTAATACTGACAGTGTAAACAGGGGGAATTCATTTGCACAATGTAATGATTTGATACACGTATTGATTCTTGCCCGTATCAGAACAAGAGGATCTTTGTGTAGCACTCTGAATAATGTTCGCTAAATTTATACCTCGGACCTAATTTTCCACGAGGTTGTGAGAGTTAACTCAGTCAATCATAAACACCATGGCATTGATGTCAGTTGAAGTTGTCATACTACACTAGCATTGAAGTAGAATTGACAAGATGAATATCGTAACAACAATGATAGTAGAAAGGAGTAAATATTTAGTTTATAGTTCGAGAACAGTGAATAGAATGGTATATGAATGGATACTTAGGCAAACTAAATAACTGAACTTAGGAAGTAAAAATAATGTATATTTAGTATCAGTGAGTAGAAAAATTAAGTCTTTGGGTTTCTGATGTATCGAGGCTCAACGTAAACCACTTTTTCAGATGATCAAACAAATTAAATTAACCCAAGTTTATATAGTCTTAATTAAACTTAATTTTTCTACTCATTGAGATATTACAAACGGATCTTTATCCATAGCAACCTACCCGATGCCCAATTTATTTGAAATTATCAAGTCAAACCTTGGTAACGACACCTATGAACTTAGAAGCATTTAGGAACTAGTAGCTAAATTGAGATCTTAGTTTGTGAGAACGAATCAGAATTAGTTCCCACAGAATGACATGCATGAACAATGGGATGTCTATCAATCTGTGTGGATTCCGTTAAAATAAAAAAACATACACGCAAGTTGATCACTTGCAAGAATAGGCATAACATAGAATTAAGGTAGTGTTGAATATGCTTACGGCTGAAAAGAAAGAACAAATGCATCACCATAGTGCCTGATTTCAGGCTGTTACTTGTCAATCAGATGATCTTATGAAACCACAGTCTAAACCTTAGGCTAATCCGCACAGCCAAGTTTAAGCGTCAGTAGCCTTATAGACATCTCATGTTTCGACCTGAAAGTTCTCCAAGCTTTCACGGATCCTTACCCCTTCCCAGCCAGGTCGGTGGATCAGTGCGCAGAGCATTGGGTCCTCGCCTAATCACTTGTACGTCCAAATGCCTTCCAAAGTAGTGAGGTCTGACAAGAGCGTGCGTTTTCCTCGCAACGTCTAGGCCACTTACTCGAACTCACCGGAAGCGAGCATCAGTCCAAAGACAATCCTCACTGGTAACCTATGAACAACTATCTTCAAAACCCCATTCTCAGCAGGCTTTAAATGATATAGGAAAGACTGGTATGGGATGTAGTCGTTTTCTGATTAGCAGGAAAACGCGGCCACACTACTGGTGGTCAATGACACGGATTGTACTAGACAGAAGTATACACTAGCTCAAGATTTCAAAAGGGTCACAAACTGACTCTTCCTAGCTAGAACTCATTATATGAAGTGGAAATGAAGAAGATGCATTAACAATCTCGCAGTTCAGTTAGACATTTAAACGACTGAAGAACATGGGAACAAGACAGTTCCCGAAACGTCTGCTCACAAGGAAGTCCAGTTCTATGCCGGGACCGTCCGCATGTGATAGTCGGGACCCGAACTTCACAGTTGTGACAACCAACGTACCGTACGCCACTCAGTCCTATTCGCGTCTCAATAACAAGACAACAATAAGTGATTCACAACTGTGTATACTAAAGCTCACTCGTTAACCTACGAAAATACGAAAAAATTAGATGTAGCCTGATTTGAAATTAGCATCGTTTAGGATTTGGTGGGTTACTTCCCTTCCTTAATCAGGTGTCGAAGGTATTGTGGTACATAATTTGTCGCCGGGCGTCATTTACAGCCCTTTCGGTAATTTTAGTGAAATCATGGACCGACGGCGAAGCTTCAAGAAGTTACGAATGCTCCGTTAGTTTGAAATTTTAGCATCAGGTGTTGAAGCAGGTGAGTGAACCCAAAACGGAAATAACATGCAAGGCGTATTCATATATGTGCGACTAGCGGGTTCTGATGGAATGAGATAACCACTCGAATGCAACACACTGGTTTTTTTTTACTACTGTTAAACACCGTTCATAGTAGTGACACCACTTTGTGTAACAGGATCATTCTTGCATACACCCACTTCAGACAGCTGAGTCGTATACTTGCACCTGATACAAGGTTAAGGGGATAAGTCTGTACATGGTTATATAACACGGTATACGACTAGACACTTGCTACCTACATCATTGGTCCTATTTGTAGCTCAGAAAAAGTTACGGCGGTCTGTCCCGTTTTTAGGACCGAACAGGCCCCACAAACTGATCACGTCACAGGATTGGCATGGCGTATGACTTGAGTAGTCTTAATCAAACCACTTTGGTTCATACGAGTACTCGGTTACATAAGTTGTTATTTCCGCGATGATGATAAACACCGAATGGTAAAATATTTCAAATGGATAACATAAAACATTCAATGTATAAAACAAAACTGAATGCAAATCACAGAAACAAGTTTACTGGGACGATGCATTAGAGAACAAAAAATAAATACAGGTTAGGAATCGGAGATAATATTATACAAGTGTTAAAATATCTGTCAGTGACGATCTTCACTTTTTCGATTGGAAGAGCGATGGTGCCGTTTTCTACTCCTGTGGGAATGTTTTCCATTACGGTGACGACTATGCCTCCGACTATGAGAATGACTCCGTGAACGACTACGACTTCGGGATTTCTGTCGACGTTCACTTTTTTCCAGCTCACGTTCGCGTTCGCGAATACGCTCTTTCTCACGTCTCTCCTCCACTGTGATAAAAATGGATCGGTTGTACCCTTCAAACCTGCGCCTACGAACAATATGATTTTCGTTCACATACTGCCTCAACTCAGCTAATTTTTGCCGAATCTCAATGAAACCCAGATGCAATTTTCCTCCAAAATGGTCTGCGAGTCGACGATCATTGTCGTGCACACCAAGATAGGCAGAACAAACCTCACAGACCCGAAGCTTCTGTTGCTGGTAAGTGCTTGTTGGTATTGCAGTCCGCAAATCTGCTTCGCTTTTAGCTTTTTCCAAGTTCAATTCTTCAACCTCCTTCATAAGTTTCAAAGATTCCTCAACATGGCCATCTGCGCCAAGTTGTTCAGCCTTAGCTAACTTTGTTCCTATTTGCTCGCTTAGTTGATTTATATGTTCAGCCTTTTGTGAAGCTTCATCTGTTAATTCTTCCTGGGTCTCCCGCAGCTTTGCCTTTGCAACATCTGTTCGTTGGTCGCAGTCCCGAATGAATGCCTCTAAATGCTCTAGTGCCTTCGAAATATACATATATCAAGGTAACTTACATCGAGCTCATATTGGAATTTTTTCGTGTCTGGTTCTTTGCGATAATCTGCCTTATGAGCAGGATCATGTATGAAAAGGCAGTTTCCCAAGTCCATTCGCTAAACAAGGTTAAAAAAATCAAAGACCTACCGTTCCCGATAATATTTCATTTGGACAACAATCCAGTAGATAACTTTTACAGACGCGAGGATTATCAAACTCTATCCTTGGTTCTTGTCCTAAATAGGCGTTACCAGTATATGCGGTCAACAATTTTCATAGAATAGGAAAAATTAACGCATTTACATTTAACATCTAAACCATCAAATAACCCTCAGACCCTTTACTTACATGAATTGACATTCAACCGCACAAACACATTCATGAACACCTTAAAAATAATGAAGAGACAAATTGAGTGCAAAGCTCAGAAAAACCTTATCTACGCACTTAGAAAGTCGTGGGCCATTAGACAATACATATCAAGCAACAAACTTTGAGGAGATAACTTACCATTTCGGGTTGTTCCCATATATTCATCCAGAAGGGCACGAATTTGGTCAGTAGCTGACATATTGCGAACATCAATTGGGTTGCCGACGTTTAGTACACAGCATAAACAAACAAGCGCAGCAACTTCAACATCCAATACCTTCAACCGGCTGAAATATTCACAGTAGAACAGTTGACTAGTCTAAAGCCTTATAATAAATATTTTGGTGTATTTAATCATACCGTTTATCAACCCTTTCTAATAGAATCGGTACTGCTTGCTTGAATTGCTTTTTAAAACATAGCTTGCCCTACAATCCTCTTCATGTTGTCTAGGCAAGCTGTGCATGTTCACAAAACGATAATTTTCAAGTGACATCAGTTAAATGATATTCGTCATTAATTTTGTTGTTCACTACCCTTATTTTTATTTTATGTGAAATTCGAACAGCTTTCTATCTGCATGCAGACATTTACTTCTGAGTATTATAGTTCCTATGTGATTCAGGTTGGTGGCTTTCATACGACATGTCCTATCTATTTCCAGTGTCTTTTCTTGACTTCTTCCTCAGCTAACACCTGATTTGTTTCCGGACAGAGTATGTTATTACTTATATTCACTGATCAACTAATCTATAGTATCTTGCTTGGGCAATTACTTAGAAATATCTGCACTTTTCTAGTGACGGTGGCACTAGTGGTTTTGATCCCTGATGCGAAGTGGAGGTATATCTCATGCTGTCGTGAAAACATAGCGCATCTTACCGTGTATTTTTCTGGTTAAAGAAAGTATTTTGAGAGGTTTTTTCATTTAATGTACAAGCCATCCCATGAAGTCTCTCTGTTTGCTGCTTTTTCCTGTCATATGTTTCGGTGCGTCACTCGCCTGAAGCTAACTTGTGTTGCGTTGGATCAGTCAATGTGACTGAGAAAATTTGTCACAGTTGTTCGTAATTAAGGTTCATGTTACTAAAGTTACTTAAAACTTTTCAGAGAGATAATTTGTTTGGTCGATCCATTGTTTCATGCATATTAAACCAAGTCATCTATCAAAGTAGACATTCTTTATTGAAATATGTTTGGCTTAGCCAGAGCCTAGATTAATGGGTAAGTGACAAAGCTATGCACACATTATAATGAAAATCTAGTGATACTACGTGGCTGTATGTTTTTTCCTCGTGGTATAGTCCTTACGACGACTCATTCTAGATCATCTTCACATCCTATGTGGACAATTTATGCTAGTATTCAGTTTAAATTGTAGAAGGTCTATCAGTCACCAAACTGTGGAGTTGTGCAGTCAAAAATAATATTCAACATGCAATTAATTCACAGAACATGAGGGATATAATAAGAATATTTATAACAGATCATAAGATGTTTATTTTACATTCATTTGCACGTCTTTATTTGATTTTAGGTTTTTTAACATGTCCTACATGGAAGCATATGGAAGCCGTACATAAGGACACAATCACACAAACTGAAAAATATTACAAACAATATTAGTTAATGACTCCATATATTAGTACGCCCGTAATCAACTTACATTAACAACGAAGATTGTTGTCAGTTTATACGTCTATGTAGTATATCACGTGTTTCTGTCTAGTTCAACGATTAGGAAGTAGATCTATTGTATTGTACTAAGTAACCACTTGTATCTAACCTACTGATATGAAGTGAGAGTCACATATTACAAATCTAATCTTTATGTCATATACACGTTTCATAAACTTTAGGTTCACAATGAAGTATCCGTCAAGTTTTATGCTACACAGATTGGGCAAAAGTGTAATGATTGATGTTTTAATAAAAGTATATGGTGGTTCTGTTTGACTATGTACTATACCTTGTCAGCTTATATACCGTTTGATAACCCTCGAACAAGATGTTAAATACCGATATATATAAAAGATGTTATTTGGTTTTCCACAATTTGAATAGGTTTATCCAAGGATTGCCTCGTAATTCTGACCTTACGTTTTTGAATTAAGTTCAGTGTAGCAAATAAGCTCTCTGTAGTTAGCCATCTGTGCTCGTTGTTGCAGATAATCTAACTTTACTCAGGTGTTACTTACTAATTAGTATCCATATCAATTCATTTACATTCTTTAAGTGGTATGGCCCGACTGGTTCATGGAAATGAGAATTGGAGACACAGTAGACTTCAGCAAGAAATTCTCGGATTATTGCATTGCTGTTAGGTGTAGTAGCCTGTTCAATTAGTTACGACTTAACAACTATTTGATGACAAATAGGGAAACTGAAAATTACTATCAGGTGTACGCATACCACACCATGTGACAAGACGTTCTCTCACAATGTATTTACCTATCAAAACCAAACAACCGAGAAGAAAAACTAGGACTATCTGGCAGCATAACAATCAAGTACAGAATGTAAAGGTCGAAGGTAGCTCAAATACGTACCACGTACTGAAAATGTCTTAACTGTAACAGGCATGACAAAATTACTGAGACAAGATAATACGAGCTTTGAGTGACAAAGATCAAACGGTTGGCCCTAGTAGTGTCAAAACTGAACCCATATACACTTAAAGCAAGGTTTGACGATACATATCGTAATACTTCCAAAAATATACGTACCTACAAAAATAAAGAACATTCCATGTAATTGTATAATAGCGCATTCCTGGACGACGGTGATTATGTACCATTGCCGAGCACGGTTTTACGATTTGCCAGTTCCACTCCCGTTACAAACAAGAGAATATATGGTAGATTGTCTTGGTCGTTAACAGGTGGACGAAAAAATCAACTGAGACGTAACTGTGAGGCACATGTAATTCGATATTTAAATCTCTGTATGTGGTCCTGTGGAATTATGGACTCGTTCTATATTGGCACATTTATCTTTGCTCCTATAATGATAGAGCTGACCCCGAAACTGCAAACTTGTCATGGTGTGACTACCTAATCTATAAGATCTTACGTTGAAGGCACATTATAGTTTACACTGACTCGTTCTACTGTGATAATCAGCTCTTTAACTTCCAGCACTTTTAAAGAACACATTTCTGTTGATAAGAGAGAAATATATTTGATGCGAAAAGCAATAGGTTACGTGGAGTGACCATGCCTGCATGATCGAGCCATGCCATAAATAACACTTGTTCATATGTTTACCATTTTGGGCGTTTTCTAAGTGTTGCGTGTTGAATTTGAATCTTCTCAGTAACTATATGCTCTATTTCAAAGATCGTATGGTGAGAAACCGAAACAACTACAATCCATTTTAGATGTTTTGTGCATGAAAACCTCTCCACGTACATATCTGTGATTTATTCGCTGATCTCTTGATTACATTTGAGATAGTAATGTTTATGTTCTATTGTACCTTTTGTTTTTCTTATGTCTTCGATGAATTTACATGTTTCTTCTCAACTGCATCCACGTTGTTTTGGTTTATATTTGATAATGATGGCTGTCATCGATTCACCTCTCTTTATGATTGTGTTGTTTGGATCGAATGAAGATGTGCGTTGTTGACAATCAATTTAAGTACTGTCTCATAACTGGAAACAACAAGAGAAAAATTAAATGTTGTCTTTCAATCGATTCGTACGTGATCTATTCATAAAATACAGAATAACGTTTCTGTCTTTATAAGAACGTCTATTTGTGGCATTTTGTAATCTTCTTATATCCTATATCAATTTTTCTGCATAATATGATTCAGATTTGATTACTGGTTGGATGACTGAATGAGAATATTTGTTCAGGTATAACGTACATTTAAATTTACAGGGGAATTTAAGACACTACCCTCCCTAATACTCTGTTTCGGTTGTGAGTGGGCAGGGACAGAAAGTGTCAGCTGACGACAAATATTTAAAACGTAAGACAAAAACAACAATAAAAATACTCAAAGTTGAGTCATAAAATTGAGTAGGAGTATTAGGGTCAGCGACGCATTTGGAATCGTATCAACTAGCTATTGGATTAGCTTGATGTAATCTGCATATTACAGTATAAAGGTTAGATTTCCTAAGGTCACATAAAGCCGGGTTGTTTTCCACCCAATAAGTATTAATGTATTGTCTGTCATAGGTATCGCTAAAGAGACGACCAACATAGGAAAATATAACAGTTAGGCCCACTATAGACGGATATGGTCTATTAGTTAAGTATGTAACACAGCTCCTAGAGGTAAGATGGTTTAAGTGGGTGCAGTTCTTTGTACACAAAACTTTCATTGATGCACAATGTTCTCTGATTCTAAGTTACCCAGGCATGAGGAAAAGAGTTTTGAAAACACGCTTAGTCAGAAAGAGTCATGGATTCCAAAACATATGTTGCTTCTGTTGTTTGTATACTCCATTGCCCATTTCTGTGCTAAACCAAATACAAGTTTATATGATCGTAGTGATTACCTCTAAATTCCGTAATCTCATATTAAAAACTAAGTTGTTATAATTTTAAACATCAGTAAGTAATAATAATAACATCCAAAATATGACATGGTACCCTTTAACTTCTTTGTGACCGATGGGGCATAGCATACATTACTCATGACCACGTTTTTATTTCTCAGAAATTCAGATGTGCGCTCACCATAAGCAAAAATAGATTGATCTGCGGGTAATTTGGTGGAGCGAAGAAGTGTGAATATAAAAACAAAAGCGATAAAAGGAATAACACACCTATGTGTCTTAACAAGCGACATTTAAACTCCCAACATTAGTTGGTGGTCAAATGTTTGGTGTATAAAAAGCCTAAGTATTTCGTGCTCGTATCAATAACAATCAAACTGGAAGACCACATATGCGATAGGATTCAGTTATAATATAGAAATATATGACCTTTTATGCATATGAATGATTTTTCATGTGATAATGGCGGCAATTTCATGAATTTAGTGTGAGCAACGGACGGCGATTGGTTCGACACGAGTGTAGTTGTATAATCAGTGCTCTAAACTCAATGTCCTCAATACATAGTGGACGGGTTATTTATGTCAGTGCTTACACATGACTGATTAGAAGTTACTGAGCGTACAAGCTAGTTACGAGTATTAGGTTAAACAGAAGCTATGAATCAATCTGTTTGAAATTGAGTC